ATGCTCAAGAGACTGCCCAGTGTTTCAGACCTCTTCCTTTTTGCCTGCAAGATGTAGGACTCTTCAGCTATTACTCCAGCACCACATCTGCCTGCATGCCACCATGTCCCACCATGATGATAATGGACTGAGCCTCTGAACTGTAAGTGAGGCACCCCAATTAAAGGTTTTCCTTTATAAGAGTTGCTGTGGGAAAGGTATATAGGCATGAGTATACAGGAAGTAGCTCTCTGGAGGCTGAGGAGTTGGTAAGGTGAGGTTGGCTGTGGCTTGTTCTATTCCTCTGATCTCTCAGCTTTCACCGCCCCCCCGAAAAAAAAAAAGAGTTGCTGTGGTGTCTCTTCATAGCAACAGAAACCCTAATACAAGGTCCAAATGGTGCCAATTTAAGTGTGAAACTCCTATTCTTCCCACCAGAAAAGGGCTGCCATAGACAGCTAAGTAGAAAGGGTGTTTGACCACCTTAAAAGTAGGCCGACTGTTGACGTGCTGGCACTAGGGCTCCTACTGAGAGGGGACAGCTATTTCATACAGCTTCTTTCATTTGCTTGCTTCCTTCCTTTAGTTTTCGTCATTACTCGAACCCAATCCCTTTTGAAAATTATTTGTGAAGGTTAACACACACACACACACACACACACACACACACACACACACACCTGCCGCCACTTTTTTTTGTTTTTTGGCCTGGTCCCATATGTTGAATGGGTATGGGACTGTAGGGGAAAGGGACCCCACAAGAGACAGGGATCCTTCCAAATCCCTACCTCTTAAGAATGGGACAGACAGGGGCTGGAGAGATGGCTAAGCGGTTAAGTGCACCACCATGGGCTGCACTTGTGGAGGGTCCTGGTTTAGCTCTCACTCACGCACGTGGTGGCTCTCAATCATTTGTACTCCAGCTCAGGCGATCCAAGGCCCCTTTCCGGCCTCAGGCCCCAGGCACACATAAGATGCACAGGCATACTCATAGGCAAAACAGCCATACACATCAAATAAAATACATTTTATGTTTTTGGTTGTGAGTCTAGCCTTTAACAGCTGAGCCATCTCTCCAGCCCTAAAATACATTTAAAAGAAAGAAAGAAAAACAACTTTAGGCCTGGTAGTGGTGGCGCACGCCTCGGGGAGGCAGAGGCAAGCAGATCTCTGAGTCTGAGCCAGCCTGGGCTACAGAGTTCAAGGAGAACAAGGGCTACACATAGAAACCCTGTCTTTAAAAACCAAGAACCAAAAACAACAAGAAGGGACAAACAAGGCCTCATACCTCTTCTTAAGGGATCATTTAGCTCACTTAGCCTCTCTCCAGGTGCGGGCCCTTGCATGAGTAGCCATTTTAAAATCTGGATGGGAGATGTCACGCTTTAAAAATTCAGACTTGTAAAAGGTAAAATAATAATAATAATAATAATAATAATAATAAAATGCTTAGTGTGGTGGCACACTCTTGTAAATCCCAGCCTTGAGTTCCTGGCTAGCCAGAGCTACATTGCAAGAAGCTGTCTTGCAACAAAGCACAGTCTTCTGGAACTAAATCAGAATCACCAAATGACAACAGGCTTTTATTTGTTCGGGGCTTGCTATGGCAATGAGGTCAGCAAGCATCCACTGGCCTTTGGTAACGACTTGAGCCCTCAAAGGGGAAAAAAAAAAAAAAAAGTTGAGCGCTCCTGTAAAAGAAAAAATTGGGGTGGGAGGGAAGAAAGGCTTCAGGCTTATTCTGATTGGATGTTGTTGGCAAGAAATCAGGCTAGAAGCAGGGAATCATTGGTTTAGAGAACATATTTGGCTCTCTCTGATTGGTCTCAAGTTGGAAGCCGCGCCAAAAGAAAAAAAAAAAAGGGAAAAAAAAAGAAAGAAAGAAAAATGGGAGCTGCCAGTTCGTGACTAAGTGTTGACTGTCCGGGGCCCGTTAATGTCGGTGTTCCGGGATGGAGTCTAATGTCACATATGGTTTGGCCATTGTCAGTATTTCCAGCCTACCAGCTGCGTGAGACTCAGGATTTTGCTTTCCCTTTTGGCCCAGCTCAATTTTACCTCTAAATGTTTGTTTTACTTGGAACAAGACGGCTTGTTTTCCTGTGAAGACCTTGGGATCTGAAAACCGTAGAAACACAAGCACAAGCATCTCTGCAGGTGAGGGTCGGACAGGAGAAGCTACCGGTTTCAAACCATTTCTAGAAGGGAGTCCTCGCTCGCGGAGGCGGGCCGCCCTTCCTTCTAGAAGAGTGTCACTGCGGGCAGGAACAAAGGGGTCACCTCGCCCGCACTCTGGGCTGAAGTAGCCCACGACCGAGGGCGCGCTCCCGGCTCCCGCTCTTCCCGGGAGCGGGCTCGGGGCCGGTGCCCCTTCCTGCAGCGTCCCCAGGAGCGTGGGCCCCGCCGGCCCCACTTCCGCGCGTCCCTGGGTGGAGGGTGCGCCCTGGCCTCGCAGCAGCCAGCCTCCCGGCCATCTCAGGTCAGCTCCCCGGCCCCGAGCCCGCCGCAGGCCGCCCTCGGAGCGCGTCCGTGGTCGGGAGTCAGCGGACCTCCCTCCGGCCCCGACCCGCGAGCCAAGCTTGGGAGGGACGGAGACAAGGACGACAGGGCCCGGCCACCATTCACTCCCCGACTGTGTCTCCTCCGCTCTGCAGGCAAGGCCTCCCCGTCCGTCCGTCCGTCCCTCCCTCCCGGGAGGCAGCCCCGAGGGTCCCTGAGCTCGGCCCCGACAGAGAAGGGGTCTCTGCCGACCCTCGTCCGCCGCACCGAGGGAGCCGTGACGCCGCCGCGGTGGTGGCGGTGGCGGTGGCGGCGGCTGCAGCGGCCGAGCTCTCGCCATCTTGTAGGGAGGAGGAGGAGCCGCGGCCGCCGCCATGCGGAGAGGCTGGGAAGGAAGGAGGGAGGGAGGGAG